CTCATATCCTTTCTTTCTCTACTATCCTCTCTCTAACCCTTATTTATATCTTGCTCTCCCCCGTCCTATTCTCTCTCTATGTGAACTTTTCTCTCGCACTTAAACCTCCCAAATCCTTCTCTCTGTGGAATCTCTCTCTCTCTCTCTAAATCTCTAAATATCTTTCTCGTGCTCTCTCTCCTAGTGTTGTCAAACACGTTTAGCTTCAGCTGAAACCTTGGGATTTTAAGCCTAGACTGAAGCGACGCAAAGCTTAGTGTTCCACTTCAGTCACATTCTAGCTGCCTCGGTTAGATTCAGGTCTCTGCTTCGGGCCGATTTGGCCGAAGCAAAGAAATATCTATATAAAAGTTTTTAAAAAAATTTAAATATTTTTTCGGTATTTTATATGTATAAATATCAAATTTGTATGTATTAATTTTTTTTAAAAAAAAGTCTAAAGTATTCTCCTGAATCGACTGAAGCATCGAATTACTTCATTTTTTAAAACAAATAGAAGAAAACTCTTAAACAAATCTAACAACATTGCTCTCTCCTACTCTCTCTTTGTAGATCCCTATCGCTTTGTAAAATCCCAAATTCTCCCTTTTCTTTCTCGTTCTCTTTCTTTCTCCTCTCCAAAACCCTATTTCTCTTTCTCAAAAAAACCCCCTGAATGTCTCTTTTGCTCGCTGTCTCCCACTCTATTTCGCCCTCTTTCTGCAAATCCCTCACTCTAAGAAAGTCTCCCTCTCACTTTCTCTCCTCTTTCTCTATCTACATATCTGTCTATATCTCTCTTTGTGAAACCAAATTTCTCTCATGCTCTCTCTGGATCTCTCCTACTCTCTCTTTAAATCCCTCTTTTTGTCTCTAAAACCCCAAATTTATCTCTCTTGCTCTCCCTTTCCCTCTTGTGCTCTCTCTCTTGATCTACCTCTCTTCTCTTCCACCCTCTCTCTCTCTCTCTAAAAACCTCCCTCTTGTTCTTTTTCTCTTGCTCTCTTTGCAAATCCCTCTCTCTAACATGTTAAATCTTTCCCTCTCATGCATGATCTCTCTCACTTGATCCCTTTTCTTGTCTGTTTCTTGCTCTCTCTCTCTCTCTCTCTCTTTGTGTATACACACATATACACTTTTGAAAATTCCTTAGGTGAAGTTCTATAGTATTTCAACTATGGCTCATCACCGTTCAAAATCCATCACACAGTTACAGTTGTTAGATAACATTTGAATTTTAATAGTTATCTAGGAATAAGATTTATCTCAATTTCAGGGCGTGTGTACATCTGACCAACTCGTAACAAAATTAAATATTAAAAATAATTGTCAATAATAAAATGATGAAAAATACCCCTGAAATTTTAGAGGGGTGCTTTGATATTTTATCACTCAAATTATTTTTTTATATTTTATTCAGATGCACCTCACTAAGGCGCACACTACCACAAACTTTCAATTCAATATGATTTGTAAACGAGAAAAAATCTTAAAATGCAAGCACTATTGGACAGTCGTGGCTATGAGTGAAGTACGTGTGTGTATGTGTGTGTGTGTGTGTATATATATATATATATATATATAATGGGCTCACAAGAAAAAATGAGCCTAATGGCCCAGATTGAATCTGGGCCGATCTAAGGATCACGAATGCCCGATAGTATTTGAATTTTGATTTATTTTCTACAAATTCAAATCACTTAAAATTTTAGATGTGTGTTTATAAAAATAGATGAATATTTGAAAAATATTTAAAAAATATTTTACTTGAAAAAATTAACCAAAATACCCCTGTATATTCCAGAACCTAGAAGCCCGTTCTTTTTTGCTTCAGTCCATCACGAAAGTTTGCTGGACTAGTCACAAGGCTTTTGAATTTCTAAAAGCCAAAGGCCGGTACAACACACTTTTGTGCTGGACCACATTTTCAACATGAGAGAGAAAGAGAAAGAGACAGTGATGTTGGGTGGAGAGAGCGAGAGAGAGACTAAGAGAGGGCGGGTACATAGAGAAAGATTAATATTGGGCGGAGAGAAAGAGAGAGATTGATGCTGAGTGGAGAGAGCGAGAGAGAGATTGAGAGATGGTAGGTATAGAGAGAAAGACTAATATTGGGTAGAGGAGAGAGAGAGAGAGGGTAAGTAGAGAGAGAGGGCAGGTAGAAAGAAAGAGAGAGGGCGGGTAGAGAGAGAGAGATATTTAATGGGCAAGATAAAGGAAGGGGAAAAATATCAAAATTGTTGGGAGGTAGAATGTCTACAATGTTCATTTTGGGGGTATCTATAGTTTTCTTTTATTAATATTTGTTATGTAGTAAATCTGGGTAGGGTCCACTCCGCACCCAACCCATGTCTGTTTTAGGTCCATAGAAATGGAACTGGACCGTAACAGCTGAGTCCAAATGTTGGACCCATACCCAGACCCGTATTGGGTCTACTTGGTGGGTCTTGGGTCCGGTCCGAGTCCATTGCCACCCGTACTTTCAAATCTTTGCAAGAATGATAGAAAATATAAAAAACATATGACAAACAAATACCATATTTTTTAGGATTTTATATAAGGGTGCAGTTTGTATAGAACCAAGGCTCTAACCAATCAAATTGGAGCCCACCTTCAGATAGTATCAAAAAATATAGTTTAAATATTAGAAAGTTTTGTGATAGCCTTAAATTATATTTTCATTTTTAGTTATAAAATTTAAAGCATAAAAATTAGTGTAAATCAAGCAGATCTATGAAAAGTTGAAAATCTTGAAATTTGACTGTCGAAAAATGCATCGCAAGATGCACTATTTCCAAAACTTGAAATCCATTTTTTTCTAATGTCCATGCATCTTGATGTCAAGATGATGAACTAGAGGATATTTGGGCATCAAAACGACCTCTTCTAGTGAAAGTTGTACGGTAGGCTTGAATTTGATTGTTGAGAGCCGGGTTCTATATAAACTTTTCCCTTTTTATAATTTTTTTAATTTTTTTTAGTATCCTCAGTGGAACATTCAACTCAGGGGAATTCAGCGTCTCCAGGGTGTCGAGCCCAGTTGGACCGAGAAGTCAAACACCGACATGGTCAGGGATTCCAAATTTTTGCGAAATGGTTGCTTCCAAATTCTTTCACTCGTACCATCTGCTAATTGCGAATGAGTCTTTTAATTGTTTAATTGCATTAAAAACTTCGACAATTATGCATGGCCACGATTTTTATTGGTGTTTTAAAAATCAAAATTGGTCCTTTAATGGGTACGGCTTTGGTTCTAAATTTTCCAGTCTGAATCCTTTTAACTCGGCGAGTTACTCGCGCTAGGATCGAGCCCGAGTTGTCTTGAGTTGGAAGTCTAATTCGGGGATATTAAATTATAAAAAGTTTTAAAAAATAAAATACATTTGTAACATGTTTATTTATGTTTTCTATTATCTTGGCAAGGAAAGTACTTTGGTCATGAATACTTATTTTTATATTTTTCCCATTTTGTTAAAAAAATTTTTAAAAGTCACAAACTTATTTTTTAAAATCTATTTTTTGCTACTCTTTTAACCACAATTAATTATGTTTTGTTTAATTTTATGTTGGATACACTTTTAATATCTTTTAAGATTTTTTTGTATTTCCTTTTAATTTTTTAGTAGTTTTCAGATGCTACCGTACTCAGCCCTACTCAGGCAAAGTTCTTCAGACTCGGGCGAGTACTCGGCCGCAGCATGGGCCTAGTAGTCGTCCCAAATTGACTTTTCGACCATTGATCCAACCCAATGATCAGATGGTGATGATGATCAGACTGTTTCATGACCACTGGGTCAACATATGCGCATATAGATGCATATACAGACAGAGAAACCTCCAAAAGAAGCCTAGAGAGAGAAAGAAACCTCCAAAAGAGGCGTAGTGAGAGAGAGTAGAACCTATAAAAGAGAGCTTCCAGAATCTCAATAAATATAAATAATAAGAGTACAAATGGAAGACTGGTCAGGAGTTGAAGCCTTAGCTCTTGGAGGAGAAGGTAATGTCCGGGAAAAGAGATGGAGTGCACACTTGTATGGCTCATTCTTATTCAACACACGAGGACTTCGGTAGGGACAAATTACAAAAATACCCTTTGTAGAAATTACAAAATTACACGCGCATGCTCATAATATGCACCTTGCACTAGAAGCTTAAATACCAGCCATAATATTTATTTTCTTTTTTAAAAGACAATAATTAACCTTTTGTTTTTTTATAAAAGATAGGAACCAAGTTTTTAAAAAACGGCTGATTGCACATCCAAATTTCTGATTTGGTTTGGCAGATCCGTGATCTGATTTTTGGAACTTCTCATTAAAAATTTATAAATATTGCAAAAAATAAAAAAAAAGGTGGGCTTAGTTTTGACCGGTTCTTTCACAAAATAGTCTAGCTTTGGCCGATTCTCTGACGGAACTGACCGGAAATTTATTTCACGGAAATTAATTCACCCCCCAATGACTCCCGATCTAGATCGAACCTTGACGATGTTTTAAAGGGTCAATAATTATATTTTAAAAGCATGATTATAAATAAAAAAATAAAAAAAATAATTAGAGATTGTATACAATGAGAACTGTTAGCTTTGAAACAAGAAGGTTACGAGTACTTACAACCATCTGATGTGAAATTTGATAGCTTAGATGTGTTATAAAGTTCAAAAAAAAAGTTTTTGAAGTTTGAACTTGGTAATAGAATAAATGTAGCCATCCAATTTCACATCCAACCGTCAAGATTACTTGTGACCACCATATACCAAAAATAAATGATCCTATACTTATCCTAATAATAATTCGAGAGTAATAATAACAACAATAACAGAGAAGGATTCAAAGGGTATTTTGGTAATCTTTAATTTGACGAGTAGAACGTATGCTCGAGGACTATTTCAAAACGACACGAAGCAAGGACAGTGGAGGACTTGGCTTGGATTCCAAGGTTGGGAACTGAATTTGAACGCATCCCCCATCTCTATTTATACATCCATTTCAAACATTTATTAAACTCCAATTTCACAACATCAAACCAACTTTCCAAGCTTGAACCTCATTCTCTCCCCCAACAACAACTCTCAACTTCTGGCCTGCAAAACTTCAACCCGTTCCCCATTTTTATTTGATAGGTACCATTCTCTCTCTCTCTCTCTCTCTCTCTCTCTCATGCCAATATCAAATGATCAGAAGATTAAAGCCCATTCTCTCCTCTGCAAAGCTACTTTATGTTCATGCCTGCAAAAGTCTAAGAATTAGTCATTTCTCTTTCTCTCTCTCATATGCCAGTATCAAATGATCAGAAGATTAAAGCTCAATCTCTCCTCTACAAATCTACTTTATGTTTACGCCTGCAAAAGTCTAAGAATTATTCATTACTCTCTCTCTCTCTCACGTACACATCTCAAATGTTTCCCTCAGATTTGTTTCCCTCTCTTACCATGTTTTTGCCTTTATCAACGACAAATAATTCTTTGTGATATTCTAAATTTCTAGGGTATTATGATTTCAGCTGCATTGTTAAACAGAAGGAAAGAAGCAGAATGAGGTTCAAATTTAAGACATTTGAAAGACTAAGCTCAGATGGATGTACTGGTACTCCTCTCTCTCTCTCTCTCTCTCTCTCTCTCTCT